TCTCAAACTGACTATCAAACTAACACACAAAAACCCCGTTTCCACTGAGCGGTCCAGTATGGATCAGTACAGTTTGGTTCGGTTTAGTTCGGTAAAGCCTGATCCTGTTTGCGTTTCCCCAGCCTGTGTGTGGATTCCCTGAAAGACTAAATCCCCTTAAACCTATTCCAATCACTATTTTTTATTCATGTAAAGAGTTTAACGCAGCTCCCCCACTTTACACAAAATCCCAGCTGACTTCCGAAATGCCGCCCGGCAGCATCTGTAAATATTCAATTTATGTTCCACTGAGCTCGCAGGCGTTTAAAAGAAATCTGCATGTAACCTGTGAGTCTTCAGTTTCAATATTTCACCCCAAGCAGCAATCCGGGTTTTAATCTGCGTCTGCCTCTTGAGGAGTCTTTGTAGAGGGATTAAAGACGCACAAAAGCAGCACCGAGGAGGCCATGTTGAAATACTAATTGCACATTTTGTTTGGGTTTTTTAGATCGCCGTGGCTGCATCCGGTGGGAGAATTACGGTGGGTGGGAGGTGTTTGTTTACATGTCATTTTCCCACCTGTTTCGCGAAGCTCTCAGCGCATGTTGAATTGATCGATCTTCCTTTTACACACAGCCGGTTCCTCCTTTTTTTTTTTCTCCACTCACTTCTTCTGTCTGTCTTGTTTTTGCCATGCTGCTTCCCTCCCTAAACTCAAGCCTTTTTTTTTTTTCCTTTTTTTTTGTCTTTCTGGATGAATATTTCCACCTCTCTGTTTCTCTCAGTGTCTTGCTGTGCTAATTTCTCTCTCTAGCTGTCAGTGATTCTGCAGCTCATGCCGTCTCTGCCTCTCTCTTTGCATGTCTCTTTCTGGTTCCTTCCTTCTCTTACTCCCTTATTATCCCTCTCTCTCTGCTGTCACTGCCTCCCAGGACCTCATTTTAACACCCTCTCTCAGCTTCTTTCTCTCTCTTACTTCATCCCTCCTCTCTTTCCCCCTCCTTCCCGGGTCCTCGCCTTCCATTTCTTTCTTCTTGCATCTCGCACCGAATCCATCCCCTCGCTGCCTCCCTGCTTCTCTTCAAAGCAGCTCACACCGGGCTTGAAAATCCTGCGGCACACACCTCCTCCAGGTGCGGATTGTTTTTAACGAATCCAAGGCTGAGGACTGACACAGTGATAAATTCACATATGCACACCAGACTGCACCACTACCTGGCTTCAGGAACACACACACTAATTCCTGTGCACACTGCAGAAACTCACAACACTCACAGGTGGCTTTGGGAAATCTTGAGAGATTTTTTTTTTTTGCCAAATTGAAGTGATTCTGTGCAGATTGTCTCTCTTCTCGGTTTTTGGCTGCCTTTAAGAAACTCCAGGAACAGTTTTGAGAAGTTTTCAAAGAATATTATGGGACTTGTTCTCAAAATTTGAAACCTGCCAAATGTAAAGTTACAGTTTGGGGTACAGAGCAGTGAGACAGTTCTAGGAAGTTTGAACAGACTGTGACAGATTGACAAGGAGGCCTAGATTTGTTGCTGAAGCAATGTTGATTGAATATTAAGTTTTCTGACGCCGGCAAGCTGCTATCACGTGTATCTGCTAAGAGGGGAACATTTCCAAAGTGCTCACCTTCAATCAGAGTGTGATGGGTGCACAAAAAAGATCTGGGGGTTCAAAATGCTCCTAAATCAAATGTCATGTGGAATCTTCAAACCACCATTGGAGAACGGAGTCTGCCAAAGGTGTTTATCATGGGCTCTGTGATGGTTGAATATTTACACTAATTTCATGTTTTAATGAGCGAGTAGATTTTATTTTCAATAATAACCTCATCAACAAAACTCATTAAACAATCTTTAATGAGCTGGACTGATTGAACTTTTTCTTCTGAAAGACATCATCACACTCAGTATTATCTTTATACGACTTTATATATTTCAAGAGGGAATCTTTAATGATAAGCAAACGGTTGAGGTTTGCTAGTTCAAGCTTTTCAGTGTAAAGGTTCTATACCTTCAGTTTCGTCATTTGGGGTTTTGTCTGATTTTTGGACAGTTAAATGAAAAGAAGACTTCACCTCAGAATCTTTCTCATTGTATTTAAAATGTCTCTGTGTTTTCTTAAGTGTTTCTCCAGTTTAGCCTGAAGAGTATCTCGATATATTCACAGAAAAATTATAAAAACACACTCATACTAATTGAAGCTTTGGTCTAATTTTAGACACAAAATCTTGGTATTAGAGTCGCTATATTAAACACAGAATGTGTGACATTTGACATATAATTCAGCAGAAATCAAGTATATCCTATGTTAATGACTTTGACTCATTACTGTCTACAATGAGTGAGAAGTGTGAGTCCCGCAAGCTGTACTGTTGTCGGGCCATGTTCACATGATGTTTACATGGAGGGGACAGCCTTACGTATTAAGCAGTATCAGTCCAGAATGAGAGAAAAGAAGAATAACATACTGTAGCCTACGCACGGCTTATTTTGATGTCACTTAAGTGTCTTTAGACCACGGTCATGATGTGTTACTTTATGTGCAATGTGAAGCTATGAGGTAGCTAAAGTGTGCTAACATTAGCCTGCTAACACAAAAATGCAAGACACGGGCAATTGCAGCTCGAGCAAGTTTGTTCGCCCGCTTGTACTTAATGGTGCTTAATTATTGCGTGCTCTGATTCATAACTCATTTGTGTGACCGCGAGTAGAGAGGGGTTAGAGGTGCGCTGCAGTTTATTTTGGTTTCATGCTGGTGCTCAAGGGCGACATCTACTGGATCAAAAAGTCGCACATTCTTCCTTTAAGAGTTTGAGACATGATCAATATTATACACGTTATTTTATTTTTTTACTTTTCCTACTTCATTGTCCAGAGTCAGATGTATAAAAATCATTTTTCTCTTAAACAGGACACTTTTTCAAATAAGCTGTGGGTTTTAGCAAACAGTAGGTTTGCACAGGGATTAAATTGTGTTTTTGTGGGGGACTATTTTCAGCAGAGGATTTGGGCACACTAACTAAAATACATCCACGGTATTTATGGCACCAGAATTGTGTATGTGTGTGTGGGATTGAGTCAAAATAAATGACAGTGTTTGTGTGTTTGTACTCACAAACAAAAACCTAGTGCGATGTTCATTAGAATGTTTCCTTTAAAGAACCCTTCAGCACACTTAAATAAGATATATATACTCAGGGCTTTGGCAACATGTTACTATGATCAATTGAATGTTATTCATATAAATGATTGACACTGAAGATGAAGAGCATCAGCAGACGTAAAGAGCAGTCTCATCATAATGCACAAACATGTTCTGGATTTACCGGCTCATATACATTGGTGCAAGCAGACACTTTGCTCTTGAATCCCTGTGAAGTGTATATTACCCAGCATACACACCATGAAGACACACTGTGGTGACTGACATCTCACGGATAGAGGTGGCTGACAGCATTAATGGAGACACGCATGTGTTTGTATTGAAGTGTCGGAGGTTCTTCTGCAGGGCTCACTTGAAATGAAAACATCTTATCTCAGACATGCCTCCCCCCACCCCCTGGGACCCTCCTACACCCTATTAGGTCTAGATTACATGTGTGTGCATTCCCTCTCCTCACTTCAACTTCCTCCTCACACAGACTTGTCTGTATTTTAACAAGCTACGCTGGTAATAAACGGGTGTCAGCACACGTCTCCCCACACACACACACACACATCTTCATAAGAATGTGATCATTGGAGATGACAGGCAGCTTAGGGAATGACCATTTGAAATTGAAATCATCTCGTATTACACTGACGGGAACTATTAGCAGGCTGAACTCTGAACACAGCGTCATTGATCTCCCTGCACATGCAAATTCACTGTCTGAAAAAAAAAAGAAATCCCTTTTAGCTGAGAGCAGCAGTCAAAACAGCCCCACAACTCGGGTCACAACATTTTACTCTGAAGGTTGCTCTCAGCTGCTGCAGACATTTGCATTTGGATGCATCACGCTTTGATTGAGTTTTCGTACGGGTTTTTTTCCGTTGTGTACACAGATGGAAATATTTCTGAAAAAAAAAAAGAGGGCCCGTTTGAAGTGAATGGAGCAGAAAATTCATTTGTCAGACACCCTTCACAACTCCCTGATGGAGTCAAATGACGAGACGAGGTGAGATGAATGTAGATTAAAAAACCCGGATGACAGGCATCTGAGACGTGAGTCATGAAGGATCTTTCACTTCAGTACAGTGTCTTTGTGTTCATGCAGCTAATGTTAGGTCAATGGGCTTATAGGCAACATGAAGATAGCTAAAAAAAAAAACTAAAAAAGGTGCCAACGTCAGCAGAGTCATCACCTCTCCTCCCACTCATCATCTGCTCCTCTCCTCTCCTGTTCCCTTTATCTAGTCGACGTTTCTCTCCTGATGTCCAAATGACCCCTCCTTCTCTCCTCTTCCTCTCCTCGTGCATCCAATTTGTTTTCTCATTTGGATCTTAATCTTTATCTCTTCCTCTGTCAGGTCAGCCGTGTAAGTGATCTGTTTTAATTTCCTTCCTCAGACATTCTTACTTTGGAGATCATCGTTATTATGTCCTTCGTTTTGACTTCACTGTATTTTGATTGTATGACTTTTCTATTTAGGGATTGAGACAAAGACCAAGGCAGGATGCGACCGAGAAAAGACCAAGACCATAAATATCAATGAAAAATCATCATCTTGTGTGCAGGGGGCGTGAAACTTATTAAAACCTTCACATCAGGAAGGTTGCGTCCGTAACCAGGGAGGGGGGACCAAACTACAAATGAATTGAAGTTATTCATTTTCTTAGAATGTTTTTTTTCCTTAGAATCAGAGTAATGACATGAGAAAGAAGCCTATCACTGGTGGTCTTGGTCCGCCCAGTCTGAGACCGAGTCAAGCCCGAGTAAAAATGCTTTCGATTCAGAAACGAGACCAAAAGGTTGTCACTCCAACACAGCCGTGTAATAAAACTCCCTCTCTCCCCTGTCGTCTCTCCCTCACCTTGTTGAGCGTGATGACCGCCTCCTGGTTCACCCCCGTGATGTTGAACGTGTCCCCCGTTTCCCCCTCCAGGATGGTATAGTCCAGCCTGGCGTTCTCTCCGAGATCAGCATCGGTTGCCGAGATACGGCCTATCTCCGCCCCGGGGATGGCCAGCTCAGAAACAGAGAAGGACCACATACCTGAGGGAGAGAAATGTGACACATTAGAGAGGCAGTCTTTGTCATTTCATGCGCTGATACACCTGATTTGTCGCTTAAACATTTAAATCTGTCTTTGGAGCTGTTTTCAAATTGCTGTTCCCCACGTGTGCTTAGCCAATATTTACAATATTTCATTCAGATAAGGCGGCTTTTAATTTAAAAGAGGATGAAAGAGAGGGATGAAAGAAGAGAGGAGGCAGAGTGTGGGTGTTATTAAAAGCCATGTAAAATATGGCCTGAAAACCTGCTGTTAAGGAAAAAAATAATGAAAAGAAGCTGGGATTTAAAAAAAAACAAAAAACAGAAAGAACAAAGCAGATAAAGAAAAAGTAAAGATTACAGGGAAGAAAGCAGCTTCGTCTCCTGAAAACGTTTCAACTTGATAAAAGGAGCTAACTCCTCATCACAAACATCCACTTTTACTCTCTGAGTCATTCCTTTCTCCCTCAAACTAACAAGGATTAAGCCAGATAACAGCCTCTTACATGTTTTAAATAGCTCATTATTTCAGTCACTCTGCTGGCTGTGCAGTTTGTATCATTGTTACACACATTATGTGACTGTTACGAGTCACCTGCTGCACCTACACTGTAAAACACAGAGCAGCAGACACAGCGTGGAACATCTGTGAAGTGGCATTAAACGCAAAACAAACATAAATTTACATTTTCACCCACCACTTTAAAGTCAGCTGTACACACAAAATAAAGACACACACACACACGCTCAACCAGCTGCACTGACAAGAAGAGGTATAGTATAAAAGGTAAGATATCACTGTTTAGGCTGGTGAGCACACAACTGACAGACTCATTCACACACAGCTGTTATCTGTGAAGTGAGACAGACACACCTGTAAATGTGAGCCAAGAACAACAATCACACAAACACATGTTGGTGGCAGAGGGAAAGATAGGCAGCGCTTCAACATGACAATATCTGGACCAACACACAGACTGTAAACACTGATGATGTCAGAGACCGGGAGGGAGCTGTTTTCACTTCAACAGCAGCGTTTAATCATCACAAAGTCACCGGCAGTATAGATGTCCAAGTAGTACGCTCTGATGATTTGTTATTGAATAAAAAAAACATTTGACTTGTCATTCCAACAAGTCCTCCAAACATACGTGACCAAAACAAAGATGATTCTTTTTTTTTTTAACTGATCCGTCATTATGTTAAAGTTTAGCTATGCAGCAGAAAGCAACCGTCATGATTTGTGTTGATTCTGATGCCCCCTGTGGACAGAGTTGATACACCTGTGGTATTTATATTAAGAATCGGGATATTTTGTTATCGAGGTAAAATATGGGTTCGCTCTAAGTTTTCAGTATGAAGGTGTAGATCACCATGGTAACATGTTCAGGATAAGAGATAATCCTTCGCAAAAGTCCACACGTTTATTTGATTAGCATGTTTAAAAGACCCTCAGCTGACTGAAGTGCTTTACAGACAAGGCTTAGAAACAACAACAACAACAACAAAGAAAGAAATCAAAGAAATAAATTGGATTTGTTTTAACTTATTTCAAAGGACAGGTTAAAAAAAGGTGGGTTTTGAGTTTTGATTTGAATGAATTTAATAGGTTAGCGCCTCTGATAAGGGAGGAAATTGATTCCACAGACTGAGAAGGTATGGTCGCCCCTGAGTTTCCACTGCGCTCGAGGGACGATAAGGAGAGACTGCTAAGACGACCTGAGTGATCTTTTTCTTCTTCAAAGTTATTTGTGTTGAATTTTAGATAATTACACACATTAACACAAACAGATCCAACCCCAATACAATCCCCCACCCCTTGCTGTCACTCAGGTATAAAGACTCCTTCACTACCTTGCCATATTCTGTAGACGGTTAAAATGAAAGAATAGTTGTTGAGGCACTTGGTGAAAAATAAATAAAATAAACATAAATATACACAATTAAGTATTAATAATAATATTCTGATGTATAGGTAAGGTGGAATAAAAATAAATAAATTAATAATTAAAATAAAAATAAATTTTAAAAAAGCCAGAAGCAGCATTACCAGGTCAGTAGATAGAATTTGTCAAGGGTCAAGGCAAAGCAAATTCAGTAATACTTCCTGTACATGTGTGGAGGGTTTGCCAAAGAATGTCAGGAACAATCTCCAGATTTCATTGAATTTCTTTTCAGAACCAAGCAGTGTGCATCTGATTTTCTCAAGTTTTAGGTTATTAAGTACATCCCTTATCCAATGAGAAATTGAAGGTGGGGCAGTATCCTTCCACCTCAGGAGTATCAGGCGGCGAGCCAAAAGAGTGGTAAAAGCTACAACTCTTTTCCCTCTGATTGGTAGCTGCGTCCCCTCTGGAACTACTCCAAAAAGAGACATAAAGGGGTCTGGGTCAATTCTAATCGTAGAGAGGGCTTTGGAAATAGCTTTCCAGAACCCCTCTAAGTTGGGCATAACCAAAACATGTGGATCAATGTTGCATCCACAGTCTTACATCGGTCACATGTAGGATTTATTTTTGGATACATTCTAGCTAATTTGGATTTAGGAAGGTGTGCATGGTGCACGACTTTAAACTGAAGCAAAAAGTGTCGGGCGCACATTGAGGAGGAATGAATTGTTTTCAAAATCCTAGCCCAGTCTCTCTCATCAATTGTTGTTTCTAGGTCTCGCTCCCATGCATTCATAATATCAGATATGGAAGAGTTCCAGTATAGATGTAATTGCTCCCTTGTCTGCAAGGTTTACGAGACATAATGTTATTTATTATATTATTGGGAGGCTTTTGGGGAAATTGTGACAAAGAGCCTTTAATATAATGCCTAATCTGTAAATATCTATAAAAGTGTGAGCCTGGTATATTATTTTTTTTGGATAACTGTTCAAAAGAAGCAAATGTATCATTAATAAAAAAGATTATTGAAACTCTTCAGGCCTCTCTCATGCCAAATGTGGAATGACACATCCTGCATTGAAGGTGAGAAGAGATGGTTCAAAGCTATTGGGCTAGAAAGGCACATATTGGGTAGATTAAAATGTTTCCTGAACTGTGACTACATTTTTAGTGTATGACTGATTACAGGGGAGGTGATGGACGTGGTCATCGGTAAGGGAAGTGACGAACCAACTAGGGCCAGCAAAGAAACAGAGCCACAGAGATTGAGCTCCAACTTTACCCAGGTTGGACAATTATTGTCCAAATGATGATATGTCCAGTAAGATATACACTGCAAATTTGACGCCCAGTAATCGTATCGAAAATTTGGGCAAGGCCATACCTCCTTCATGTTTCGATCTTTGTAGGTAATTTTTGCGCAGACGAGGCCGTTTGCCATTCCATAAGTATGATGATATTACTGAATCCAACCTTTTGAAGAAAGTACCAGGAACAAATACAGGTAAACATTGGAACATATATAGATACTTGGAAGTACAGTCATTTTTATTGTGTTGACTCTGCCAATAAGCAACAGGAATGCCAATTAGACAAATCTTGTTTTGTTCGTCAGCAGTTTTGCAAAGTTATGCTTATGGAGGTCCGTAAAATTCCTTGTCACCGTGATACCAAGATAATTAAAGCTATCTGATGTTATTTTAAGAGGCAACCTGATGTTCTCAAATAATGCCAGATCCACATTTAGTGGGAAAACCTCACTTTTATGTAGATTTAGCTTGTAGCCTGATATCTTCCCAAACTGCTCTAATAGATTAAGAGTTGAAGGGATCGCGGTTTCTGCATGAGACATATGCAGGAGGAGGTCGTCAGCATACAGTGATACTTTGTGTTCTATGCCCCCTCTTACTATACCTGGTATAGAGTTATTGGTTCTTATGGCCTGAGCCATGGGCTCAATGACCTGAGTGATCTTTTTTTGGTGTAAGGGATTAATAATTCTGATAAAAGAGGCCCCGTGTCCACCTAGCGTTTTTTTTCCGGGCAGAAAAGCGATGGCTGTGCGCTTGTGAGTGCTCGCATTGAGCGTTTGTTGCGCTGAGATGAAAAGCGCTGCACGCCCGTCCTGTCTCATGGCACCGGCCGCTGACACTGCCCCGTTACTTTTTGCTCAATTTGTTCAATATTTGAGATCGTTTATTTTCCTGATCAGACACGGAGCAAAGAGGATGTGGGTACAAGATATGATCCAACAGCGGCAGGGCTTTTCATACATTTTGAAAAGAGCGCCGGTGATGTCAACAGCACCTTTCGGAAAAGTTGAAAGATTTTTAAACTTGAACGCTTGGAGCAGATGCACAGAAAAGGTGGAGCGCTCATAAAAAAATATGCTGGGCGCTGCACTCTTTATCCAGACGGCCGCTTCCTGCTACGATCGCTCTCTGCTCATTGAAAACAATGAAATGCAATCAGAAAAAAGCTCTAGGTGGACACAGGGCCTAAGAGGGGGCTAAACAATTCAGAAACTGATGTGTATGATTGTGTGTTTTCATTTTATGATTTTTTTTCTCTTGAAGTGTTGATGCTGCGGGCGGATTATTTTGAAGTCCTGATCCTAAACACGTCCAGTTAGACTCTGATTGAGAACTGCTGCTCTGATAACATCTGCTGTCTGTACCACCTGTGTACACAGACTGGAAGCTATAACACCAACTAACTATTAATATGTTGGCTGAAAGATACTTCACATCTGCTTCTTAACCCGTGAATTCGGCGAGACTATTTGAGTAGAATGTGTTAATCACTAAAACGACGACGCAGATCTGGAGAAAATGAAGGCAAACTGGTGATTGAAGTCCAATCATCTGAATCGTGTTCCTGCCATCCATGATTCATTTGACTTTTTCCGCAGAAATGAACCCTGCAAATTCTCCCTGATGAAATAAACCATGTATTGAGGACATCCTTCAGTTAGATGAGCTGTTTAATGTGTTTCATACTAAAAAGGATCAGATGATGGAAGAATATTTTTTGATTACATGCATGGAAAATTGGACACCATGGCACTAAGATGAATTCAAATTGCAGGGAGGGAAAAATTGAGTAACT